TTCTGAACTTAAAGCATTATGCAGACTGCAGTATGCAGCCAAGAAGGTACTTAATCATTTTAACGTTATGCATTAAATGCTCATTCAGAGTAAATGCATTCTAGGATAAGGTTTTACAGTGAAACGATGTTTGCTTGCTCCAATGTTATGACACTTGAGTCTATATTCTGTCCAACCATTTATATAACTTTTGACAGCTCGAATTCTAATCCATTAGTGATGTCCTAATGTGTTTCCGAATCGATTTTTTATAACAATCGATTTTATTTATGAAGAAGTTTTAATCGTGTATGTGAGCGGGTTCTAAAAAGATGATATTGTCTCATTGGAATCGTGATGTTGCGTTTAACAATTTGTGTAAGAATTAATGTGTGTGCAAGAATTAATCATTAATGTTAATAAGGATTCAAGTGATGATTCCCGTTCATATGGAGAAGAATCCGACGATTCATTATAATAAAAATAAGAATTTATTATATTTATTTCAAATTTATTTCATTTCATTATAATTTATTACACAGGTACCAAAATAACTGCCTTCGTGGCCGAACGGTTGGTTACCATGCCTGTCACACAAAGGTTCCAGGTTCGATTCCCGGGTCGGGAGGAATATTTGTATGGCCACCATTTATTTCTGTTAGTGTGTGTCCATGACACCCACGACCCAGGGTTTCCCTAGTGCGGGGCTATGTTGAGTGTGTGCGTTATTATTATTATAAAATTTATCAGCTTGAATAATCTTGGTTACATAATATGATGGCTCGATAAATATCAAAACGAGCACGCCGCTTCACTAAAATTAAAAAATAAAAGAGCCCGGGAAGTATTGCATTTTTTTCTCTATGGTTGTATGTCAATAAATACGGAACTTCAGCGGCATGCATAATTCAAAAATTAAATAAATGGTTGGACGGAGTATAAATACATCAACATCTTCAAACGTCAAAATTACAATTAAAATAACGAATATTTCAGTAAATAAAACAACCAATCAGAAACCCTAGTGTCCTTTCTTTCTACAAGACATATGCAAATTTTCGGGCCGACTATGAGACCTACCAGTGGTACGAAACGGCATAGGCAGACAAAGCAGGAACTTTGCCAGCATTTTGGGCACCTCTGCTGTGAGTTCCATTTCCTACAACTATTAAATCCTTCGTTAAGTCTTTGATGTATGTTTGTATTTGTATCGGTACAAATAATAGTGTTATTGGGTAGTGTGGTTGGTTATCGGTACAAATAATATTAAAACTAGACTACTTACAACAACAATGAAATAAGTTGTAACAGTTTCTCGAAGTTACTATTCTTGGCACTCCGTCATAGCCCACAAAGACGGGCCGTTTTCGTGATATTTTCACATGTTACTGTCAACTTATGTCTCAAGGTGTCGGGCGCAGTGGCGGTGCCAGTCAAATCTTTGCGATTTAAAGCTTAGAGTGGCAGTGCAACTGTTATGGACAGGTGTGTAGCTTCCCATCAGGCGCACGACTCGTTCGTCCCGTCACTTGATATTATAAAAAAATTGATATTAACAAGAATTGTTTGTATTTGTGACCATATTTATTTGGCATTAACACAAAGGCTGTGTCTTTAACGATTTTAGTAAATGAAAAGATTTTTTTTTACTAATTTAAAAATGGTGGCAGCATGTTAGACTCCATTTGGTGCTAGAACGCTACAATATGAAAATCGTTAAACATACGTGACAGTTTAGAATAAAATTTTATACTTTTGATCACAAAACTTCAATACCGACATCGGAAAGGTGACAAACTAAATCGTGCAAGAACAAATAAACAGTTTGTACTCTAGTCCATACAAAATTGAATTCCCAACGGTATTTCCTCAGAAACTGTACTACATTATACTTGCACATCAGCTGAACCGACTTTGCACATGACACAGAGAGACCGACAAACTTTCCACATATATTTCCTGTAAGTTATTTCAAGTTATATTGCAGTAAGTTGGCTAAATTCGTGGTGTTGCTTTTGCAGATATTATTTGGATTTCACAACCCATTTCAGTTACTCCGTCTGCAACCGGAAGATAGAAGTAATTAAAAGTTTAATATCTAGAGTATTCAATACAAAGGTAAAATTTGCCTTTTCATTGTTATATTCTTTATATAAAAAATAAATGCTCATTTGATCTCCACCTCACTTGATGGAAAGTGACGATGAGGTCGAGGATGTTGCATGCACACCGAAATAATGCCTATTCACTCTCGCCTTGAAAAGATCCAAGTTATAACGTTCGGGGAACAAGTCTGCAGCCAGGGAATTCCACTCCACAGCCGTTCGCCATATGAAAGCGTAACGCTTCTTGCGAATCTTTGGAACATCCACAACATAGGGGTGGAATCCAAGCCAACGTCTAGTCCCCCAATGATGAAAAGGGGAAGGCGGAATTAAATTGTGTAATTCCATCGCACACTCCCCGTGATATATTCTGTAAAATACCGATAAGCGGGCAACTTTACTCGGAAATTTTAAGAAGTATATTTCCGATTTCATTATCCAAAGCTTTCAGTTATCATCAAGTATGATATTAAGAAGTTCGCAGAATAATAATATTAATTCTGAGAACTGAGTTTGACATAAATTCAGTCGAAGCCACATTTAACAATCTTGAAAATTGTGCAGTTTTCGAAGTTTGGACATTTTGATAAGGATAGCTCTTTTGTTTTAACATAATATTCAACAATGGTTGCTAACTGAGCAAATTTTTTTAAGATATAGAAGCTTTATCGAGATAAACAAACCGTAGTAACCAGTCTTACGTCTGAAAAGTCGATCACCTTGACGAGCAGTAGCTCGTGATTGCTTCATAATAATAATAATAACGCACACACATAGACAACCACAATTTACACCCAAAACTCACGAGAGAAATAAATGTAGGTCATACAAATATTTCTCCCAGCCCGGGAACACAGTAATCCAAAATTGTAACTAGGCCAGCGTCTCAATGGAATGAATGGATGAATGAAATATTTTTATTCCACATTACACATTACAATGATACAGAACAGTGATCTAAGCATCAAAGAGCAAGCTAATGTACAACGGGCGGCATTGTTGTTAAGTAGCGATTTCTTCCAGGCAACCTTAGAATAGAAATTTAAGAGTTTGAAAGGGATATCTTGTAATGAAAGTGTTTTAAATAAATACACTGCTCATAAATGAAGTAAATATATCAATAAATAATAATATTAAGTACATACATACATATTCACATATTAATATATAATAATAAAATTACTTATATAGTATTCAATGGTGTCAACATTCTGACAAAAAGGTCTGTGATCGCTATTTTAACAAACAATCCCAGGTGTGGTGTTGTTAATTGATTTCATTCATGTCATCTACACTATTACCGGTATGGCAACATATGTGGAGTACATTGCCATCGTTCTCAGTATATGAACCGTAAACCCATTTGAAAAATTTGTATTATCATCATCATTAATAAGAATCGATATAACCTTAACCCGTATTAAAATTTTTCCTGTACTTTATTTTATTATTTTTGGTTCAGTTCTATTGCGCGGGTTTTAGAATTTATTTCTTTACAAACGAAATTAAAGTCATTTGAAACATGTATATTGTATACTATACATGTTATATTTAGTTCAGTCGATTTAAAAAAAAAACATTGGTATATGTTAAATACCTATTGAATACAGCGGTTTCCTTGTAAAATTACCATTAGGCTAACACGACTTTTGTATTATAGTGTACCGTTGTATATCATTACCATAATCAGCCGGGAGACGTCCACTGGCGATCATAAGCCTCCCCCAAAGATTTCCAGACCAGCCGATCGGACGCGACGTGCATCCATCATCGTATATATTATCCAATAAAATAATTTTTATTTATCACATCTTTTTCTTGTGCTTATCGTGTTCTAAAATCACAAGTGCGGACGAGAACAATATGTGAACAAGAAATTATACTTTTACATTAGCTAGCAATTTCGCTTGGTTAGCCATCCTTAAAACTTTTCACATTTATCCCTAAAAGTTCTCCCGTTCTATTTCCCGCATCTGGGTTTAGGTGGTCCCTACAAACTCTCAGGTACAATTGTTTGTTCAACAAAATTTAACTTAAGTACGATCGTAATAAACGACTCGGACAATTTTAAATACAGCGGCTAAAAATACGATTGAAGTCGTAAATTTATTTTTTAACTTAAATTAATATTTATTTTCCAGCGCGTTTATTTTTGTGATTGAATTAAATGATTCAACGCGTAAAAAAGTTCGGTCAAGAAATCAAATTTCTTTTGGATACACAAAGATTTCAAATCACTTAATTGCCAGCTGCTACAATTTGCCCAGTGTTAACGTAGCGAAACAACAGTCATTACTTAAGCTGGCTTTCATCCAAGGGGCATGGTGCCAATGTCCTCCACAACCTGTTGACTCCACCATATGTACTGGTTACGTAATAATGTTGGAGAAATACAAAAGAAAAGAAGTAAATGGTCCGGAAAGTTAGGTTTTTTTTACTGTCGTATTCTTATTACGTTTTGATGCTACCTCGATACTTTTGTTGAGTAGCTCTAAGATCAGCTATATTTTCTATGTTTATGATTAGTTTGGGAGTCTCGTTAAATGGGCTGGAATTTAAGTATCTTTTTACGATGGTTGGATACTTGTTTCCGTAACAAATTCTTGCAAAGACTTTAATCCTTTTAAAGAATAAGCTTTGCAATCTGTTTTTTTTTTTTCAAATTAAAGCCTAATTTTTATTGAAACAAGTCACTAATTATTGTAACCTTAATCATAATTCAACCAAAGTCAGATTCATGTTTTTTTCCAAGTTATTCAAAGACTACAATGTACGTAGATATAAATTTACAATCTCATTGCACGATCTGGCAGTGGAGTTTTTAACTATACATTTCGTTGATCCCTATATTTATTCATTTTACATCGTTAACGTTTACAAAAGAACCAGCAATAATCAAGGTTATTAATCACTTACCTGGACATGATATGGCGCCACCTTTTCTTCACCTTTAATTTCCACGTTGATATGCAACCGAATGGCTCCGGAGACGGCAGACTTGTCTGTTCGCTTCTCTAAATTGTACCACACGTCCATCTCGCCGGATAGCGTTCGTACCTGAGGAAAATTATTATCTTTTTGTTGAAATTGACTTTCTTTTGCCTCGTCAATAGATACGGTGTCTTTGCATATTCATGAAATGGGCAATAAATTCTATTTGTCAATAACTGCTAATATTTTTCGAAGATAAATTCCGACTTCAGAATATAGTATTTAGTAATAGAAACGTTAGTGAAAACCACAAGTAAGGCATAACGTAAGGTAAAGGTAGTCTGTTTACCTCAATAATAGTTTGACCCAAGAAGTCGTCTGATTCTCTTGTTAGTTTCTGTCGAAGTTTGGATTTCAAATCATTATCTTCATCCCAAACACGTACTTTGATCCGGTCAGATGAATTGTGGCATTCACTGCAAGAACACATTGTTTTAATGTAACAAAGTCAAGTAGAAACCTATTGCATTTAAATTAGGAGATGGTATTGTGGATTTTGCATACTGATATCGACAAACTCATGACAACGACAAACATGTGTACTGTGGAAACTGAAAAACCCTCCACCACCTGCTTTCATCATCCCTCAAGAGCAACTACCACCAAGATGCGATCTGTGGTGGCCCGTGTGAAAGTCGTTAAAGGTCTCTGCAGAGACTAGACTTGTAAATGAGAGTGACTGCGATGTGCGATGAGTGACACGAACACGTGTACGACGGAAGATCTCTATGTGGCCATGGATAGCGTGGAATCAAGGTGGCAACATACTATTCAAAGTCAATACTGTCATAAAATAGTCTCAGTAGAGAGTACTATAAAAACCGACCTCAAAAGTAAGTGAAATTACGTCTATTTGCTAAGTTTTATTGAAATATAGTTTTTTTTAGTTTTCTAGTTTCCCACTATACAGGACTTGACACTGGAGATAATAAAAATCGGTTCTCACTACTCAAAGTATATTGAGAGAAAAACGCCTTGAATTGGAGAAATAGCAAAATCAACTATTAAAGTAATTGCTCCTAAATTAAAGTTAGGCGCTATTTATAAAAATGAATCTTCATGCTTGAACAGCCACCCTTCGAGGTGGATGATTTTCTTCAAAGTGAAATGAGACCACTGTGGAAGTACCCCCTTTCCAACAAAAAAAGAATCATGAAAATCGGTTTACAAATACCGGAGTTATCGCGTAACATACATACAAAAAAAGTACACACAGACGAATTGAGAACCTCCTCCTTTTTTGAAGTCGGTTAACAAAAGAAATATCGACATGATAAGAAGCAGACATTCTTCAAATTCCTGGGCTCAATTCTATAGGAATTGATTTCCAATCTAAATGGTTAATTGGGGCTTCCTACAAAAGTAAAAACTATTAATCCACGTTAAAAACACTTACAAGTAAAATTTCTCGTTCCAAACGGGATTCAATTCTTGGGGCATTGTTCTAGTTCGTTTCTTCACTTTGCTGACTTGGACGGTGACATAAGGATCTGACGTTCCACTTTTGTCTTTCGCGATTAAACCTTGAGCACAAATTACTGCCCGCGAAGGGCACTGTTAATATACAGTTGAAACATAATAATGTAGCTACTATCATTAAAATATTGGTATGGTAAGCCCACATGTCAGCACCATCATTTATCAAGAGCATAGGTGAATGTTATTCCAGTATTTAGCTTCAATGAGCGTTTGGTACATTACGGAACAAGAATAATTGCAGACCGTTCCGTAAACGATCCTGGGCGCCACGCCTGAATGCATACTGATAAACATATCCGCTACATCTACCGGAGGTAACACACGTTTACATTTACGATTATTTATACTGCTGTACGGTGTATCTACTGCGCTTAAAGTAGATTATATATTATCAGTATTTACCAACTTATCAACTAAGTTTTGTCCTTTCTTGTTACTTACACTTACCGTATTGTGTTAGTGTACTTACCAAATTAAGCGTTTGTGATTACTTTGAATGTCTACGAAACGGGATTCATGTAAACAGGTTGGGGTCAAAGAAGAAGACACTAGCATCAAATCTACCAAACTTTTTTGTCTATGACCAATCGATTTCTAAAACTCGAACATAGCGACTACATTATCGCAAACTTCTAATGCAAACTTCGACCAAGAAGAAAGTTCCAAAGAATTGTAAAGATATGTTCGGAAATCCAATCTATTAGTACCTACCTATATTTTCACGAATCGAAAAGTTATTGGAAGTAACAGTGGAAGGAAGTACGTAAGTTCAAAAACCGAAATCCTTCTGATTTCGGTTTTTGAAAGGTGTATTGGGGATCTATCATTCTCCATGCTTATTTTATTTTTATCTAAATCATTCTTAAAAATCGTGGCGAATCTACCTCATGAGAACTGGCTAAATCAATACTCTGAAATATTAATATTGTTAATATAAACTTTTAATATGTGCATATAAAACAGGCTCTTGACAATCCATTTGAATTAGCAACAATTTAATATTAATCCTGTGAAATTCATGCAGTCTGTGTTAATTCAGCAGTCGTGCTGCCGGATGTGGTTTTGCAATATAATTAATAATATTTATGTGACTTATCCGTCTTAAATATCCCAGTGTTCAAAGTTACAATTTTGTGAGCGTGAATTGTTCTGTTTTTGTTTCTTCCAAATTTAGCGTTAGAGACGTGGATGTTCTTTAGTGTTAATGGTTAAATAAGCTACAATTTGTCAATGAAAGTGATAATAAGAGCAGTGCAGTATCGACCGTGTTTGGGTTAGTCTTGAAGTAAGATATGCAGCATAGTGGTTTTTGACATCTGCCTAGAACTGCAAGCAGTTAGGTGTTCTGTTCATATTGAAGCGAGTAACCGTTAAATACAAGCAGATGTCAAAAGTGAGATAGATAGAAATCAGGCGAAGAGTCTGTCTAATAGAGCCAAAACTGCGAGCGTGCGGTTCGTAGCCGCCAAAGACCACCGCAAACCTGTAATGGCGATCTTGCATGACCATTTGGACGTTCCTTCTATAGTATTTTGCTTGGCCTGTTCGAGACTGTCAATGTGAGTGTCTGGGTCGACGTTAAAAGTCCGCCTGGTCGCCACATGAAACGAAAGATTGAAATCCATTTAGGGTTTGTGTAAGTGTAGTGTTTCCTGGATCGTCGCAGGAAGCTGCTACCGGATGCCCTGTGGAGTTGGTTACATGGTTAGTGCCACGCGCTTCGAACCTGTGATGGCGATCTTGGCGCTCCATTTCGATGTGCCATCCAGCACCGACTGCTTCACGGTGCTCATGTGTGCTGCATGCGCCTCTGCTTCGATGCTGAACACCTGTCTGTTACACATATTTTGGTGTCAGCCGTGGCACATAAGAAAAATCGTGACTTTCTTTCTAATTTAATGATTTCATCATCTGCAGTGAATTTGCATCGTAGTGTGCGATAAAATCAAAATAATTTAATTTAGCAGCAACATTTTTTGCTAAATAAAACCAAAGCATTCGTTGATTATATAATATGTCATATTTTCTAGTGGAACTAAACTTTTAATGAACAAATTAAGGTGAAGAAGTAGTATAAAACGGACACGAAATAGGTGTCCATATAATTCATAAGTTTAATATTCGATTAAGAATATACCTGTAATCCAAATCTAGCAGGCTGTAGGGCAGTTACAATAATTAAACAAGATAATTTAACGACTTGAAAAATACCTGATAAGTTCAAAGATCTCGGGCATGTCTCGTTCACGTTGCTTCATTCTTTCTTTCATAGCTGTGATGATGGAGTTAGCCTTATCCTCGGCCCCATGTTTGGAAGACTTTTCGGCAGCCCCTGCGAAACACACTACTCAGGCGGTGCCAAAACTGTTCTGGTTTGCCGCGGGATGCGCCGGGACGGGCCCCCGCCCCGCATTCAGGTCCGCAACGACCACTCTCGGACTTCAACCTGGCCAGAAGCCAACAAAATACTTTTCCAAATAATTTCCCTCGCGAACTTTGTCGGTAACTGTCAGATCTGATCAGGTTTATTTGCCTTCGAGCGGCGCAAGTCGAAGCCGACCTGAGCACGACGCCTTTCACAACAAGTTTAAATAAATTCCTTCACTTTACAACTAAAAGTTTATATAATCCATCTGTATAATCATAACTTTTGGCGTATTGTTAAGATTAATAAGCTAAACAAACGCACAATCACCAACAAATCGCCAAACTTGTGTCCAAATCACCAAAGTGCTGTGTCTGTATTAGAAAACATAGCACCCCTTGTATTTATTTGTTTAAGTATTGCTTGTTAGTTAAACCTTTATTTCTTCATTTTATACTCGTAGTAGGTATTTACATTTACAAAACCTTATGATTGACTCTTATTACCTTATGATTGACTCTTGAAAAATTTATTAAAGGGACAGATAACAGAAAACATAAAGATAGTGAAATAAACACAGAAGTGGAACTCTATGTAAATAAAATATGAAATAAAGAAACTAAGGGACCACATATAATATCGAAGTGGACAGACATTGGAATTGCGTGCACACATTGCTAACAGGCACATCTTACAAAAATGTGATTTTTGTTGGATTTGTTTGGGCGTAAGTGTCATCGAAGTCTTTTAGACAGCCATCCCGAGAAGAGTAGTGTATATTAGAATGTGTAAAATGTAAAGTAGGGCACAGAAAGTTTACAAAGTAATTTAGTTTAACTAGGGCTTTAATACGTTTCGGCGCTGGGCGGGGCGACCCGAAAGGAACAGGGATGACAGGACCAAAATCCCTATCTACTTGAGCTAGCGTCCACACTTCCAAAACATCGTACACAGCTTTGAAATTCACTCTAAAACCGCAGATAGGACCAAAAAGGTAAATCATAAAAACATCACCCACCCGTTATAGAGTAAACAAAGAAAAGTCCGAAAATAATCAAATAAAAGGAGTACCAAAAATTAAAGATAATAAAATCGCCAATTATCACCAAAACGGAGAATCGAGTATTGCTTTGAAGTGTGGACTTCGGATGAAAATGGCGTGCAGTCGACAAAACTAATTTGAAGTCAGGTGAGTCGTGAAATCGCCCAAACGACTGCTTGACTAAATGCTCGTGCAAATGTATGGCCAACACTACCTAGCGGAACAATAATTATAGACAACATTGATTTTTTAATTGTAAACCGTAACCATGCACATCAAAGCAGCAATTGGAAATATGTATATATTAATTTAGAAAGAGTAAAAACATGCTTTTTATTATATGAGGTCATAGTAGTGAGAAAAGAATGAAAACAAATAAACATCACAGTAAAGGAAAGAGAACATCAATAAAGGTAGACAGTAATGGCTGTTTCCTAAGTTGAGTGATATCTTGTGAAATCCTCGAATTGACCAATCCACTATATTTGATTCCATTGCCGATGATACTAATTGTGTGAAAAATGTGGAACCACTTGTGTATAGCCGATCCATGCAATAAGTTTAATCATGCAGATAAATATAATAAAAATAATTTTGACTAACACGATATTTTTGGTGATGAGGCAAAGTTTTACCTTTTTTCACGGGAATAGCGTTGCATAAATCTAATATTGCAGAAGTAAACACTATGACCTAAAGGTGTTTAAAAAATCCTCACTTCAAATTACATTTTTGAACATAATGAATATATATAAATAATATCTGACATATTTCATTTTAAGCCAAATCTTGTTAATGGTAGACTACGTTTTTAGCTGAAGTCTGCAAATCAATTGACCTTTACGTTTATAGACTCTTTAAATATAAAGATTTTTATATGTGCGTGAGCACGTAATGCTAGCAGACTTGGCATCTTAAATAATGAATCCAGATCGTAACTTCAGACAATACGTCAAACTTTGTAGTCTGTGGCAAAGTGCCGTCACAAAGCAAAAGGTTTGTGATACTTGTGCTTCAGTTAACACTTGCAGATACAGTTTTTTGATCATGCTGTTTGAAATTTGAAGAGTGTGAGATTTTATTTCATCTTTTACATTCAAAATCTATTTGGCAAAGACGTACTTATAAGATGTACCATATGTCTTTTGCATCAACGAAAGGTAAGTAACACATGAAACGTATATTATGCGGTCCCGGAAAGACCGAAAGCACACTGAGATCAAAATTTGTATATTGTTACTTTATTTTATCAATTGACAATTTTATATGAAGACTTTGATTTTCCAGCGATAGAATGGATCTTATCCGTATTGAGCGACCCGTCAAGAGCAGCTTGACACTACTCGAGATTAATAAGGAGCGCTGCGCTTGGCAGCTGTGAACTTGTTCTTTTCATGTTTTTTATGAAGTGAATTTTTTTTAAATTTGGTTCGTGTTTTTTTATACAGATTCGTTCAATATCTAGATTATTAAGATATGAGTACAAAATTTTTGAGACTCAAAAAACACAGTGATGACACTCATATCTTAATATTTATATTTTCATTCCGAGTGAAAACCGGTTCTAGTTATCTAGGAACACTTGAAAATTTCCTTACGCTTTCACTAAAATCAATTTTACAGTTTTATAATATAAAGTTTTACGAATCTAAAACCAATTTTCACACCGATAGATTCTATGCTAACACAGACACCAAACTTACTCTGTAGGCAATCGGCATTGAGCAAATCCTTGCACTTTTCGTGGCATTTGACGCCACATTCCGTACATCTGACTCCTTGTCTGGCTATACCCCAAAGGAGACCCTCACATTCGTAACAATAAGTTGGTGATGTGGCAGTCCAAAGGACGAAGTTGTGAGGCGTTGTTGATGATATAGGATAGATGAGGGCTTGTAAGGTTTTCTTGTAGACGTGCATTTTCTGGAAGATACTTCATCATTTAGAATGACTTTATTCTTGATTAGAGTACCGCTTAGGATCAAATTTGTTCATGCCCTTATGAACGTCTCGTAATTTGATGTCTTGTTCATCCGGCAGATTGTTTTATTATTAGTAATGTTAAAAGTGTTTTATATGATTATTTCATTAATTTTATAAAGAAAGTAAAGAGACTCTATTATGTATGAAGACTGAACAGTTTGACTTACCAGTTCTTCATCATTTAACGTAGCCCGATGTACAGCAGATGTCAAACCTGCGTTCCTCTTGGTTGCAGCCATAGTCTAAACATAAACATTCATTTTAATCTTTTCATTAAACTTTGGATTAACGAGATCTTATTTCTGTATCTCAAAGCTAAAACTGCCTACAAAATACGCATTTTTAGAAGCGCTTTATTTCATTTCAAGTGCTATATTTGTTTATATGAATTTTATAAAGTTCAACTAAAGAAAACGTGAGACAAAATATACTTGTTATTTAAAAGCAATTACCTATAACTACCTACGTATGTACAATCTGTTCTATATCGTTAATTATATCTACTCATGCCTGTCAGAGCTGCCTTGTAAGCTTTTCTGAAGCCATGTCACAATTTCAATTTGATGATGTAATCAGTAAATTTTGTCCATTACTTCTATCTAATGGTTTGTTTTATATATTACCTAAATAATGAACATTTTTAATGTATACAAGGTATGTAACAATATGAAATAGTGCATGAATGCCAAAAACAAACGTGTAAATATAAGCGTGAAAATTTAAACACGTAATTCTTGAAATAATGTCGCAAAATATGTGATTCAACATAATCTGTTAACAACGAAAACAATTAAAGGTGATACTTCGGTTACATAATGCCTCCTGAAACGAAATTGTGTCGAGTGTTTTTTTCAGGAAATCGATATGAAACATTTTGTGTTCTTGAATGAAAACATAATCAATGAGACATTTATGATTATTTTAACGTTATATTGGTTTCCTTCAAATTGACATGACATACAATTTCCTTTATTGACCAATACAGTGCTCACATGGTTTGTAGATACCAACGCCTTTTTATCAATATCGACGTAAAAGCATTTAATTGAAACCAAATAAGCAAGCACGTGCATTTCGAAACGAATTTTATTTCCTATAGCAGAATTTATGCAATAAAATATCTGTTTAAAAATTACTATCAATTTACGCCTACCTTTACCTGGATTATTCTGAAAATACCAATGAAAAGCAGAATCATGCAAAGGCAGCAAACATTTTCAATATTAACGTTTTAAATGCAAGCAAACTATCGTAAACGTGAGCGAAAAGGGAAAAGTGATTTTCAATGGCAATTTCTGTATTGGATTGAATTATATCAGTCCGCCATTTGAAAAGAGTATCTTAATTGCAAAGGTCAAGGTCCACTGTAGGTCAAAGAAACGAAATTAGAGCTCGAACATTTTCAAATATCTGTATTTTCATCAGTATATATTAGCACAGAAGATCTCTTTTGCCTCTTCTCAAACACCAAAAGTCGCATGCAAAGAAATAGAATGTGTTATTGGGATAGTAATACCTTGAGAACCTGCAGGTCCACGGTTAGGGGGTAAAATGCAATGATATTATTAATTTTAATCAGGAATCAGTGTACTATTGGTTTGTTAAGGTTTCTTCTGGTGACCCCTAAGTTGTGTTCAATACGGTATTATTATACAGGTAGGTTAATCAAGATTGGACACGATAAGGTACAAAAGAAATGAGACACATACAAGTAAAACATCAAATAGTAGGACGTTACATTAGGATCGGTTATAATTAGTAGTGTATTAAAGTCCATTTATTATGAACAATGAATGGGGAAGTTATTTTACAGAAAACATTTGATCGAATGTTCAACCACAAAATATAAAACTAGGAAGTTGATGGTAAAGAAAAATTAACTAAAAACAGGTTACTTTAAAAAAATGTATTCTGAGTTGCGCTATGTTATGCTGAATTGTTAAAAATAAATGTTATGTTAAATTATTCAGTATTAGAAAATTAGCAACATGTACAACTACAATACAATTCCAATTATCAGTGTAACAAAATATTTACGATGTACGACAATTTGTTGATCTCTCCCCCTTATTAAATACCTATTAAATATCTAGCAAATCCATTGACTTACAAATAAAATTGTAAATCCCAGTTTTTTGTATTCCTTGTACCTTTAGGTTGTAAATTTGACCATGTAACATGTAAATATTAACTCATGAATTGAGTGCAGGGAGTGAAACGAATTCGTCGTTGTTGTTGAACAAATCATTATTAATTTAATTTGTAACACGTTTTATTTAATGTTGCAATACTAACAATTTTTCTCACCGCCTTTATGATCATAAGAGTATATAACCTAAAGGCGGGATTGTATTCCCCATAAATTGTTCAAAACACATAATATGGAAATTCGCTGTAGAAGAAAACATTTATTATGCGCCTAATATTTACTAAGCCTCTGGAAGCGAACGTTGATGCGAGCGCAGGGCCGGTTTAAGGGAAATAATTACTTCTCCTATTCGCTTTTTATGAAAAAGTCTGTGTCATGCAAAAGGAGATTAAAACCTTTTTTATATTTTATGAACTAGCGGGAGAGGTACGGTAATTGTGTAGATTTAAAATTTTTATAACAGTAAATATCTACGTGTCTTGAAGTTTGTGCAAGTACTTAAGACACAACTTATTCTTGATATCATAAGTAATAAGTTTTATACAATTCAATCAAGACAGAACCCCAAGATAGTACAGGAAAGTTGTAATACAAAAGAACGGGGTTCGGAAGTGGACTTCAAAGACTCTGTGTAATAAAGAAAATCTTCATTTTATAAAGTTCTTCGTATTCAATAACGTATAAGAACACGTAATGTTTTTTAACTTACAATATGTTTTTGATCCAAAACTTGTTTATCTTACACAATTTTCATATTTATTCCCATTCCAGATTTTAAAACCGGCTCTGGCAAGCAATACACATTTACGACCAGTTCCAGATATCTGCCTTCAGAAATGGAAATCATTGATAAATTCTATTATGACCGGGAGATCTTACTTACAAAACCATTATAGTGAATTAAAGAAATATAAAGATGCTTTAAATACTGTAAATGATAATATTTATTCAAATACATTTTAAGTGAACACACTGCGGTTATCAAGCTAAATTAAACATCGTAATATCCACCATGGATTTTATTACATTTCTTTACAACATTGACAATTTTACTAAGTATTATAAAATAATCAAAGATATCGTAGGTACCGTACATGGTATATCAATCAATAAGACTAACTACGTTGCAGAATTATTCTTTAGTACACTTTTAAACAGATAATTGAAACTGGTCAAGAAAGATTCCATTGGATTTCAGTATAGATTTAACTTATAATACTGTCAAATGCAAAAGAAATACTACTTACAAGTTCCGAGACGAGAGGTATGGATTTTCTTCTTGGCCGTATATCTGGCATACTGTCGATGTAACTGTAGAATGGATTGTCTCCGGGATGGCTAGAAAATTGGAACGTGGAAACATTACAATGGAAACTCTAAATGTGAATGTAGTGACTGAAAAATATGGTTACAATGAATATGTTTGAAGACATTTTATAAAAAGAATTTTCACTCACTGTTCTTCAAAGATGGATAGAGATAAGTTTTGGAAATCTGATATAATAGTTAAATTAAATATTTAATTGTATATGTTAGATATTCTAGAACGATATGAATCTATCGGATGAAAAAATATTATTATAATTATAGGCACCTAAGTGCAAAATTGTTTTGTTGAACTTACCACAATTTTGAAAATAAAACTAGAATTTAAAAAAAATATTACAATGAAATATTTTATCAGAACTATTTTTATGCTTTATATAATAAATGTAAATAATGTGGTAAAACTATCGTTATCGAGTTTATTCACATACCCATTGCCTCGTCCGCCTTGATCCTTGCCGCCGGAGCCATTCTAAAAATAAAAAAAATACAATTAAAAAACAAAAATAAAAAAATAAATAAAAAGCTAACATTTTATTCGAAAACAAAATTTGTATAACAACAATAATATTTAATCATTTTGATAAAATGCTCTCATAGACTCTTGGTAAATATTTTCAATAAGATTATTGATTTCGAGTTACACAAAATTTTATCAAAATGAACTTAACAATAATAGTTATTAATAATATAACATATATTTTACTACAAAATGGAGAATTATCGTTAACAAATATTAATAACAATAATCAATGGTAATAGGCAGTACAACATATCTCATTATGAATTGACGAATCAAATTGAATGACCCAGATAGTATGATTGCAAACTGTCAAGCCCTTTTACACTGTTAAAAAATTAGATGTCCTTATTACATTATTTTTGGTTTCTGTGACCCAATTGTACAACTCACTGATAAATTTTGTTATTATGTATAAAATGTGGATGTTATTTAGTACTTTTTTCTTTATATTCTTGTGTTCACATAATTCTAAATCTAAATCTTATCGAACCTGTTCTACGGATAGAAATATGTGATTGAAATTTAGCTTTCAAATTTGATGTTTTAGATCGTGTGCTAAATTCTGAATACGATAAACGTGGTTCGGTTATCCCTATTTGAACGGAATTGAGAGAGGTTTTAACAATGACTTTTCTTTAGTTTTATAATGTATTTTGTGTACTTCGCAAGGACCTACCGCTAACTCAAAAACAATATGTTTGAAATCGTCAAAATTTATCGTCAATTATACAATTACATCGTCATTTCTGATAAACTTATATTTTTGCTACGACACATAATAATAACATTTAATACTACGTAAATATTTTCCAACATCTATTCCTCTAAGTACGTAAAGTGCCCGCTATCTTTTAAAAATGCATGTGTAAATAGCTACACGATAATCTAAGCCGTGTTATTTCTATTTAAAATACGTTATGATTATTTATGACGTATGCACTATTGTTTAGATGGACCAAATCCCCATAAAAAAATCGTATCTCATTTTCAATATCTTGAGAAAAGAGGTACTATAGAGCTTTTATGAGATTTCTGTCTACCTATGCAATTTATTAAGTCGTTAAAGAAACACCGAATTCCTTGTCTATTTGTAATGACCCCTTTATATTTGTCTGCAATTATAGGTCGATAGCTATCATGTAAAGAGTAATAGATGTTAAACATTAAAAAGAATTAGGTGAAGGCATACAACCGGTTCCATTTTAACAAAGCAAAGAGTCGTAAAGAAACCTTGTCCACATTATTATATTTCTCACTAATATTTATATTAATAGAAGAGATCAACAGGTATACAAACGAAGCCGATGTTTCTTTAAGCGCATTGCAAGTCTCGATAAAAGGAACATTTTCTATACTTCTGATATGAGACGATATGACGATGAATGAATTTTGTACGTTCAATGCTCCTAATGGAACGCCACCTTTGACCTACATTTCTTCTAATGAATCAAATTTACCTCATATATGAATAATAACATTAATTTGACAGCTAACCTCATCAATAAATACTGGTTTCAAGCAACAAACACATTAACTTTAATACTGAGTATTTGTTTACTTATAATTGTTAAGACTATCATTTCATCGAATATATTAAAAGCAAGTATAATTTCGTTAAAAATGGTACATTTATCATTTAGATTGAATTTTAAGCTTCATATAAAAATCCAATATTCATGTTATATAGAAAGACCTTACGTAGTTTAAACCAAAACGGTTTAATCTAATTATTGCCACGATTAAATAGAAATAGCGATAGTAAATCATAGATTGGTTAGTGTAATAGGCTAAGCTATTATTTCAGAGTAAAATGTATTGTTTGACAAAAATGTGGGATTCACAACCGCTGTATTTTAGTTGGTACTCGTAGAAGAGTGAAATTTTTTTTCCGACGCTTTTGTTGAATGTATCAACGGTTTTTAAAACGATCATAGTGAATAAAACTTGCCCTTTAGTTATTACTATTGCAAGTCTCAGAAATGGACGTCTATCAATAACAATTACCTATAAAACATACATCTACTCATACAACTATGTATACTAATCACATAATAATAATGGTTAACATTGTATTGTTATAATTGAGAAGCGGATTGAACTTTTATTTTAGCAAGGGTATTGAGTATTATCAGTCTAATTAGCAGTTTTGCTTTCAGAAAATTGTAAAATTTGTCTGTATACTGTGTTCCTTAAGCTTGTTAATAAATTTAACTCTTAACCCTAATTTCATGAAACTTTTGCATAAGATAACTTACACCGGCGCTGACTTTATCCTTCTCGGTAGATGGAGTCGTCGCAGCAGGTGTTTCCGATGTCTTTTCTTCAGCTTTGCGGTCCTTTAACGCCTTAAGAAGTTTCCATTTACTTCCCATACCTCCCGCTGCACCAGCGTCTTGTTGCGGTGGAGATTCTTGAACAAGCTCTGGCCTTGGACCTTCGTGAATTTGAGGCATGTCGTAATCATCAAGTTCATCTCCACTTTGTACCGGACTGTCAGGCCCTGAAGTTTCTCCGGAACCTGAATCCGCAAACGACTTGTCATCTTCATACTCTTCTTCTGGCATTTCCTGTTTATCTTGGGTATCAGAATTGTCCTCAATAGCTGGAAATGTAGTTATATCTTTCCAAGAATCTTTTACAGGAGTTTCGTCGTATTTATCCTTCACGGTCGCCGTTTTAAGTTTCAGTTCTCTCAGGACAAAACCCATTTTTTCTTTCAAATTGTCATCAGGTTGTTCTAACTCTTCATAATCTTCTGGTTCTTCAGCCAAAGTTAATTGTCTTTCAGCATCAAGTTGCGATTGATGTTCCATCTCTTCAAGTTTTCTTAATTCATAACAGTACCACTCATCTTCAGAATCAATACTTTCTTCTGTACTTTGTCTTCTTGAAGAAACACGAGAGCCACTTCTCCAGGAATGTGTACTTCTGCTATCATCATCATCGTGTTTGTTAGGTATTTCTAAGCTTTGCTGATGTCTTGGTTGAAATTTGTTCTGTATACCTCGATTACTTTGGATAGATGGACTTCGTTCTGATATAGCTTGACTTGTATCCTCCGGCACTGTCGAACTTATTATTTCAGGAGTACTTTGCTTTCGGACTTTCTTTTCCTTCTGTCTTTGCGGCAATTCTTCAACTACTTCATCTTGTGGTTCCACTTCTCCTTTGGGTGGAGAAATTTGTTCGATTTGTTCATCAGATACAGATGTAGATTTTCGAAGTCGATATTTGCCTAAAGCTCTAGATACAGCAAATTCTTGTGAACTTCCACTGTATGACTTATTGCTTTCGTTTAAACCTTCATCAGAAGTTGTTGATGCCTTTTTGACATCTCCAATAGTAGCAAACAATGACGCAGGAGATTGAAAGTCTTCTTTATTTTCCTCTTCAAATAAATCAATATTTGATATATCAGTATCTATATCTAACTTTTCCAATTCCGGTATTTTACTTTCTTTCTTCATTTGCGAAACACGTGCAAAATGGAAGTCTATGTCATCGCTCTTATCACGTGGTAAGACGGTACTTGCAGGGGCAAACTTTTCAATTTTTTCGTCTTCGACATCTTCTTCAGTAAAATCTAATCCATGCTCTTGCTGCTCTTGAATCATTTGCTGTTGTTCAATTATTTCTTGATTATTTATTTTTCTTTGTTTGGGTTTTGGAGGTACCTTAGCAAACAAATTCCCTTCGTGCGTTGTATCTGAGAATACACTATCACTGTCTTCAGATTGGGCGCTAGATCGACCACCAGACCACTCTGTTTCTGAAGTTTCAGGATCCGATAACGATTGATGACTGGCCTGATGCTTTCGTCTCGCTTTTTGCAGCAAACCAGACATTGAAGCTACCAAATGATATTTCTTTTTTCTTCGTTGAGCTGACAGTAATCGTTCTTTCAATGTCTTTTCTTGTTGTTGTTGATCTACTGTATCAACACCAGCCGGTAAGGAATGTGATCTGTGCTTTTTAGGTAAGTGGATGTCAGGTAACCATTGACTAACGGAAGACATCGCAGATTTCAAAGAAGACGTTCTTTTTGGTTTTTTTACTTGTTTATCTTGACTATTACCCTTCAAATTGCTCGATATCGATAAATATCCTGACTCCGACACTAATACACCACTGGAATCTACGTATTGTTCTTTTCTTAAGTGATCTGTAGCCATCTGTTTATCATATTCCTGATTCTCATACATAATATTACCATTACGTTGGTCATATTGTTGCTGCTTGAAATATTCTTGTTGTAATTGATTTTGAAATTGTTTTCTTTCGGTTATGCTTAGTGAACGTGATTTTAAACTGGACGTTTCCATTGAGCTACTAGGAGATCTACTGCCTCCTTGCCATGAAAGTTGATCTTCTAAGGAAGTTCTTTTTGGTGAGTCGTATCTACTTGAAGTTGGGTAGTACGACAAAGCATCAGTTAAGTTACCCTGGGGGTATGCGCCTCGATGGGCTGCAGCTTTAAACCCATTTTGGAAAAAATGAGAATCACCTGCGCCAATTGTATTCGCTCTAGTTATAGGCCTTTTATTAGTGTTTGGCATGACAACGGTTTGCGCATGATAACTAGGTTCTGGTGGGTATGAATCTACTACAGGTCTTGCAACAGATTCAGCAATTTCATTTCTATCTAATAATTCGGAAAAACTTCTATCTTCAGACGGCATTCCTCTAGGAGAACTATAAACAGTTGTAAACAGTGATTGTCTAGTTCCAGCTACGGAATATATTGACGGTGCTTCATTCCCATAGTAGTATTCACTCATATTACTTATCTGTGTAATATGACCATCAAGTGAAAATGGTATGTCGCTTTTCATAAACGCGCTATCAATTTTTCCTTGTAGCTTACTTAGTTCTCGAGAACTGATTTCTTTGGCCAATTCGGCTTTCCTCAAATTATAATCACTTTTCATTTTCTCGTAAGCATAAGAATCAACCAAGGTTTCTAGATATGGCTTACTGTCCACTTCATACGTCATTCTTTGTAATACTTGAGGTGATGAAGTTCTCAATTTATGCGAGTCATGACTTCCGTGGGCAATCCTCCCTGTTTTTGGTGAACCTGGACTTTTTTCAAGGCTAGACCAACCGCTCATAGAAGATAATCCTGAATCAGATTTTGCAGCCACAATATTCGTCGTGTCTCTTTTTATATGTTTCGGTGATGTTTTAGGAGATTTTGGCGAACGCGGACTTAGTCGCATTCCATCAACTGGTATTGTACTTGTTGATAGCATAGATTGATGAGTTGTTAATGAATCATTATTATTTTCAATAGAAGCAAATATGTCTGCACCGTTAGGTGGTGCTGGAGGCGGTGGACTTGGCGATTTCACTAATCTCCTCTCATCAAAATTCAAATCAAGTCTGTCATCAGCAGGCCCATTGTATATTTCGTGGATAGACAATGGCGAATTTTGTTCTGAACAGTTTTTATATATGTCACTTAATTGTTGAGTTGCGCTTTTTGTAGAATAAAAACTTTGTCTTGAATCGGAATGTTGATACGTTGAACTGTATTCGAATCGATCCCTTGATAATGCACTGGGAGACTTGTTTGCCTTAGCAGCATTTATTTCGGCGTTAGCCACTGCTGAACTGTATGCTAGTCGACCAGTAACGGTAGTGTATGGCTCTGTAGATGTTCTTTCAGGCACAAATTTTCTTCGAGGAGAAAGCGTAGATGGTAGATACTCTAACGCTCTGTCAGTCGCAGTATTATCTGTTAGTGACAACCTTGATGGAGATTTTTCCCTCGTAATATTGTCTTTAGGTATTGATAGCATGATATCGTCAAAACTCTTTATCATTTCGTTGATACCCCAATTTTCACCACCCGAGTAAACATTTTTGAGTTGCTCGTTTATAATGTTACCATCTTCAACGAGTGCTTTCGCCTCTATGTCCCTATCGTGTTTTGATATTTTTGGATCAGGACTAAGAAGCCTAGTTTTCAAGTCTTTTAACTCTCTCGAATCTTTGTGTAATTGGGTTGTCAGCCTATCTAATTCATGTAATTTCTCTACTGTCATTTGATCTATTGTACTTAAGGTAGATAAATGCACCAAGTCTCTTTCGCTAATACCAGATCCTCCTTGCATTCCTCGGTAATCTTTATAATCTGTTGCACTATAAACTTGTCTTGAACTCGCAGGTACGATTTCAACTTCAGTTTCTTCTGGTGCCTCCCAAATCATATCTAACTGTGATGCTGGTCTCTCAGTCTCCTCACAAACGAGATCGTCTCGATATGCTTGATTTAAGCTTTTGTAAAATGCTTCATTTGATTCCATAATCTCCTCCTGCGGGTCTAACAGTACAGAACTTCGTCCAATATCCAGACCTTCTTCGATACCATCTTCGACAGTGCCATTGCCTAATATTTCCCTAATTACTTCTAATCGACTTATCGGATCCCTGGAAGTAACTGTACGACATGTGTAAATGTCGAGTAAAGTTGATATTACACCCTGTTGATCTGCGAGTAATGATTCTAATCTTTCGAGTCGCTCCCACATCCTAACATACTCTTGGCTAAGAAGGTCAAGCGCTCGCCAAGCGTACTTAAGTTCCGTTTCGAGGATGTTAAGACGCGTGCCAAGACGCTCCATGTAGTCGCTGATGATGTAGTCTCCGGAATAGGGGGGCAGGTCGGGAGGCAGAGCGAGGGAACCGCAAAACGACCTTCCGTCGTCCATATCGACCTCTGCAACCCCACTCCCTCCGCCCACGCTTTCCTCCATCGCGTCGCTTGCGCCTGCCCCAGCATTGTCGTGAATATCGCGCATCATCTTCGGATCGCAAAGTGGGTTGCACAAAACATTGTTCACTATGAGTCATCCCATATCGTTTTACTGTTCACACATTGGTCACGAAACAGTACTGTATCATAGACAGTTCTTTTCATATTTATTTTATCACTCACAATTTTAGATAAGCATTGTCTTTTAGTTCACTTTTTAAACAACTATTTAATTTCTTTTGACACTGTATAGGTATACTTTGTACTTCGACGGAATGAAATTTGATAATTTTTACATCAAAAATATACTTTGATCTACACTTATCACTTTACTGCAATGAGAAAAAATATATAACTTCTGTTAAAACCACTGATTTGGACATAACCTTAGTTATGTGCACATCAGTGAAGACATGAGGGAATGGAAGTACCTCAACAAAACATGTTAACTTCATGCATAAACAGAACCTTCCGTGTCTTTAAAAAAAACTACGTTATATCTTAAAATAGCTTCAAAGTCAGTTTCTCGCTATATTCTAAGAAAGTTGACATGTTAAGGTTGGAGGCAGCTAAGCGGTTCAAATTCGATTCCACATGAGCTATATCCTCAGAGGTGGAAGGCGTAGCCGGCGGGAAGGCAAAAGGATAAAATTGAAGGAAAATAATGCCGGATTAGACCACCGCTTCGCTTGGATTACGGTCAGTTATAGGATCATAAAAAACGATCGAGTACGTTTAGTGCCCTCGAAACCACGTGACAACAGATTGAAGTTTCTACTATCTTCTATTTTTATGGTTAATATCAGTCAATACTCAGTGCGTTTCCGATGAGACTTATCAAAGTAACGTTTGAAATTTCTGTTTAACACTCTCTAGATAGTACTATTAATTTTGTATCACCTCACTTTAGATGTACAGAGAAAGTAAGTGATCTCATGTAAATTTCGGCAGATAACACAGATGCCAGCAAAATGCCTCGAGGCATTTCCTAAACAGTAGTTGCTTTGATATCATAACATGCGAATAAGGTATGCTTTTGAGATAGAATTTTGCACAAATAGTTGCACTATCCGAGAAGTTTATTGTTAAACGCAAATTAATTCACAAACTACGAACGTGAAAGCCTATCAAAAGGCTTTAGTAGTCTATTTAACGTTTTACTTCATTGCCTAGCAAATTTAGATCACGCGTATACATATTTTTAATATTTTAAATGCAAGCACTTATTTTTAAGGGTGTAAATTAACCAGTCGAAATAAAAATACAATGAGTGAATAATATACTATGTGAGAATGTTACATAATTTACAAAATATTATTAAGAATTGAATTAAGATTCATTAAAGTGCTGAAGATTTACGTATAGCAAAATGATTTGTAAGGGTGCGTACGAATCTGGCGAATGCGCCCCAAATGCTTGTTTGCGAAAGGCTCGCGAGCTGCGCACTTGCATTAAGTAGTGCGATCTGTGTGCGATCCGTTCGCGTGCCGTTCGCGTGCCGCTCGCGTGCCACTCGCGTGCCGCTCGCGCGCCTCATACACTTACATGTACACGCTTATAGTAGCGCGGCTATGGCACCACTGTGTACTAATTTTCATACATTATTTAGAAGCGCAGTTGCAGCGCCAAAGTCGCGACACGCGCGCCCCACTTTTGTAGTCACAATTAGTTAATTAAAATTAACGAAGCGCTACAGACGTGTGAAGGCGCCCTTATAGTAAATAAATTAAGTCAACAGTTTCGTGTTTATAGGAGTGCCCGAGGTAAAGTCATATTCCGGTTGCATAACTAGTGACTTCGAATAGTTGTTATTCTAGTCACTTTTT